ATAGACTCCATCATTCCTCTGTAGAACTGGATCATCAGCTCCTTGTGCGGTTTGAGGTTTCTGAGTTGGCGCAGAAAGAAGATTCTTTGTTTAGATCCCATTGCAAAGATGGTGTTAGTGTCCCAATGAAATGAATCGTCTTCCCTCTGCAAGTCACCATCAGCCTCCGACTCAAAACCATAGATTGGACTGTAAGCCATTATTAAATAGCCATTATTGGACAGCCTAATCAAAAGGTCCCCCAAGAACATTCCCATCAACATCAATTCTCTTTCAGCTTTGTTCGGGTATTTTCCCACGTCCTTATAGTTGTGCTTTTAAAGTTGTAGCGCCGTTTCGGCAGAATCTCATCTGCCATCATCAGGCTTCTGTATTGTGTCCGTCTGTGAGTCAGGCCCCCACAGTTGTTTCAGTTTTAAATTTGGGGCAGCCTATTGCTGTGCCAGAATGGTTTTTTCTTCATCCTGATTGGTTGGGAATCTTGGTCTGTGTTTATTGGTCTTGGAGTTTGCTGTGTTTTGCTTGATTGGTGTTTCTAATATCTTCTGTCTGTTTTGTGGCTTTTTTTGTGTCTTGATTGGCTGGCAACATTGTGTTCCTGTATTGGAGGCTTATAGTGCAGCTTGGCTCCGAGTAAATGGACGGCTATCATTTGTTAGGAAGCTAGGTTTCACCTGGGTGCCTGGTTGGGGTGTGTTTGAGCTGGAGGTATCAGGGGGGATCTGTTTGTGTCCCGGTGCTTGTCTGGCTAGTGGTGTGGAGATTTTTTTTGTTTGTGAGTGCAGGCTTCCAAATGATTGACAGTCTGATGGAATCATCTCTTCTATTCATGAATTTATTCGTAGATTTTCACGGGTACAGGTATGTAGGTCTAGGTGTGTTTGGGTCTTTTCCTGTGTAAGATTAAGAGTATCTTGGTGACGTTTCGGCGAGGTCCCACTTGCCATCCTCAGGCTGGTGCTTTCGGCTTCATGCCAGTGCAAGTAGTATGTGATCAGAGCTGCCGTCTCTCTATATATACTGATCTCCAACCAGCCCAGCACACCAGCCCCCACCACCAGTATATATAGAGAGATGGCAGCTCCGATCACACACTGCTTGCACTGGCACGAAGCCGAAAGCACCAGCCTGAGGATGGCGAGTGTGATCTCGCTGAAACATCGCCAAGATAAACTTAATCTTACCGAACATACCTAGACCTACATACCTGTACCCGTGAAAAATCTACAAAAACAAATATCATACCTCTACGGGGAGGAAACCTTCCAGCTAACCAGGCCCTACGAGAAACTCAAAGTCCGAAGAGCCACCATCTTGTGTGATCTCACATTCCTACGCAATTGCCGAGACAAAAATGTGATTCCCCACATGCTTCCAACTCAAATTCCATTCCAAAACTTCAGCCACCGAAAGGATCCTGAAAAGAAGGGGATTAGCCCTAATCAGAAACGAACTCCACAAGAAAAGATTCCTGCTAGACCAAACCAACAGAGACCTCCTCACACTCCATCTCAAACTCAGCAACAAAATCCACCCAGCGCTCTGGGACAAATCCAAACAACTAGCCTTCTGGAGAGCCAAAACAGAAACCTCCCACAAGACAAACACAAAGAAACTCCACAGACTAGAGAAATGCCAGAAACCCAACCCTTCCCCACAACAACACATGAAACAAACAGTATCAGACAGAACCCTCACCATAGCAGAAACCAATGTCCTTTCCAAAGGATTCAACTTTGCCGTCGCCCACAAACGCATCCCAACTGAAGACATTATATGCGGAGCTGAAGCTAGCCTAACCAAAATCAACCCAGATGCAGCCAACAAAATCAGACTTGAAGTCACCAACGTCCTCTGCTCCAGCAACCCACCCAGAAACAACCTACACAGAGAACAAAAAAGCACTCACCAACCTGATGAAAGACAGCAGCATCATTCTCCCAGCAGACAAAGGCCACACCACAGTCGTAATGAACACATCAGACTACTACTCCAAGCTATCCAATCTACTCCAAGACCTTGCTTACAAACCTCTGAATACTGACCCCACCATCTACCTGGTAAAAAACCACCAAATCCAAAATAAAAGTGTCTCCCATCAGTGAAGAGATCCAGCGAGAATCATCCCCAGAGAAAAATCACCCAGATGCCCTAAGCTCTATGGCCTCCCCAAGATACCCAAAGAAGGAACACCACTCAGTCCCCATAGTCAGTTCCACAGGCTCACCTCTACAGAATCTTGCCAAATTTGCATTAATAAGCCATTGCAATGACATATAGCAGGTCCCGCAACGACTGCCATAAATCAAAGAGCGCAGAGCTGATCTCCAGCTCTATCCTTTATACTTTACTTCTAATCACATACATGCTTCGCAACTTCAGTAACTGTCACTTTCTGCAAACACCTGGGTACGTTATTTTCAATTCTTCGTTTCCAACTGTGTTGTTCTTCCTGTTTTAAATGTATCCATACAAATGCTGCAAGATTTGCAAAAACGTGATGTTTCACAGTTAGCAATGATTCAGCAGGATTACAAATAGTAGATTTTGAAACCATTCTAGCGGAAAATTTGGTTCATACCTCTTTCTTCTGGGGCCTGCTATCATCCATAGGACTTTTGAATCTAATAGATCAATAAGCTATATTTTTTATTCCCACAATCATTAACAAGATAGATTAATGAAATAGAAATAAATACAGATATATTGAAATATATAAGAACACACCCTCTCGGATTGTATGAATATAATTTAAAGTGTATAGTGTAGCATGATAAATGTAATCGCGTATTAATGGTATGAAAATAATAGTTATAATGACGAGGTACAACACAATGTAGTCCAAAGAGACTATACTGTAGGGTTATGAAAATAATAGCTATAACCAGGACATATACTTTGATGTTGTTGTTTTTTTAAAGGACTTGATAGAACCAGAACACCGACTTTGCAAAATTGAAATGTGATGAACAATAATGAAAAATGTACAATAAAAAATATTCTTTTTAAAAAATTCAAAGATCCACCCCCTGCACCCAACAGTCCATCACACTGCCCAATCAACCATTGTCCCAAGTGGAGACATCCTATGGTGGGATTCAGCTGGTTTGCAGTGGTTCGTGAGAACTGGTTGTTAATTTTCTGAGCAGTTGGGTGAATTAGTTGTTGGAAGAAATCATTAGCGCAGAGAACCGGTTGTTGAATTATTTGAATCTCACCACTGGAGACATCCTTCCAGACATTCCACTCCAGGTGCAGGGCAACATGTCCTTGACTCTCTGAGAAAGAAGGTTGTTGTGTCTAATCTTCCACCTCTCTGTGAAATCCCCCCTCCCAAATTCCCAGGCACTAAATGGGGGCAGCCACAAAGCTTCTAAGTGAAATATGGCTCCCCAAGGCTGACACAATCATTCCCCCATGCCAGCCCCACTCCATAGCCCTACAATGCCCCCCACCCATCCTGGAGATAGCAATAGCACTTAGACTTATATACCGCTTTATAGTGCTTTACAGCCCTCTCTAAGCGGTTTACGGAGTCAGCCTATCACCCCCAACGATCTGGGTCCTCATTTTACCATCCTCAGAAGGACGGAAGGTTGATCAACCTTGAGCCTGGTGGAATGACAACCAAATGTCAAGCCCAAAGTTGGCATATCTGTAGCCATTTTATTTAGCTCTATAGTTTACTCACACATTCTTTTTCTTCCTCTTTACTGTGTACGGGGTGGGATGGGTTTTTTTTTTCTGGACTCATCACATTCTTAAGAGGGGGAGTGTGAATAGATAGTAAGGATTGTTTTGGCTAGGTGATTTTTCTTCTGCTGAGAGCCGAAGGCAGAGTTTGAGGACACCAGGCAACATTGATTTACTTTTATGGGGGAATGTGACTTTTATGGGGTGTTTCTGATTTACAATATTATGTGGTTTGAGTCTGGTTTTCTGTCAGATCCAGAATTACAAATTGACCGATGTTTATCTGATGTTTACCTGAATCGAAGAAATGTGCTTCAGAAGATGGACTTTGCTCATTTGAATGGCAAACAAGAACGCAAATTCTAAACAAAGAGGAACTACATTTGCATGGGTGACAATGGCAGCTCATGGGGGGGGGGGGTGTTGGAAGGCTGCTCAAAATGTCTTGCCCTCCCCCCAAAATGGATGGGTTGGCAATCCAGCCGAAAGCCCCATCTCTAGATGTTTGAAAAGTCACAAAAGGTCATTTGGAGATATTGCAGGAATCCTGAAAGATCGGTCTTCCAAAGTCTGGAAGAGAATTGATGTTGCTACAACTTTAAAAGCACAACTATAATGACGTGGGAAAATACCCGAACAAAGCTGAATACCATACATGTAAGTACTCGCGAAAACTTAAGAAAACAAATGATATAGATATAGATATAGATAATAGATATAGATATAGATGTGTGTGTGTGTGTGTGTGTTTTCTTAAGTTTTTGTGGGTACTTACATGGATGGCATTCAGCTTTGTTCGGGTATTTTCCCACGTCATTATAGTTGTGCTTTTAAAGTTGTAGCAACGTTTCGGCAGAACCTCATCTGCCATCGTCAGGCTTCTGTGCTGTGTTTGTCTGTGAGACAATTATTACCTTCTCATCTGTGGGTATATTTTCGTTTTTCCAATTTTGAGCATATGTGATTCCAGCTGCTGTTATTATGCACACGATTAAATATATGAATCTTTTATGATATTTCCCCGGTATTATCCCTTCCTACTCCCTCCCTACCCCCCTCCAACGAGCCGGCATTGTCACCGTGCCAGTGTAGTTCCTCTTTCTTTAGAATTTGTGTTCCTGTGTGTCATTCAAGATAACATTGAATTGGCACATCTGTTGTCATCTCAAGGATGAGTAGATGGAGGGCATTTTGGGGCCATGGGGTGGGGCTGACATGGGAAAAAGATTGACTTTTAAGCAGAGATTCATTTTCATACCCTCCAGTCTTAGGGAGAGAAACCTGTCTTGCTGAAGGCTGGTCTCTGTTATGGCCATATACCGTGTGCAGGTTGTGACGGGCAATGCTTGCTCTTCTGGTATCTTCGATTCAATTTCCCTCACCTTGGTGGGCACGGAAGGCGAGAGTCCCAAAACCATCCTGGAAACCCAGAGTCCTAGTTTCTGCCAAAGCTTGGTGAGTGGATGGATCCTAGCACAGGTGCTCTCTGAAGTTAGACCGTTTCACTTTTTACCTCGGAGGGCTGCAGGGGGAACAAGTGCGGCATAGGTAATCTTTTCAAAGCAACAGAGAGCGGGCAGAGAGAGAGCGAGGGAGAGACAGAGAGTGGGAGACAGAGACAGAGAGTCAGAGTAAGAGAGACAGAGTGAGACAGAAAGAGAGGGAGAGAGAGATGGAAAGTAAGAGACAGAGACAGAGAGTGAGAGTGAGGGAGACAGAGGGAGAGAGAGAGGGAGAGAGGGAGAGAGAGAGAGGGAGAGGGAGAGACAGAGAGGGAGAAACAGAGACAGAGAGAGAGAGAGAAGGAGAGAGAAAGAGAAGGAGAGAGAAAGAGATAGAGAGACAGAGAGAGAGGGAGAGACAGAGAGGGAGAGGGAGAGGGGGAGAGAGAGGGAGAGAGAGACAGAGTGAGACAGAGAGGGAGAGAGAGGGAGAGGGAGAGACGGAGAGAGGGAGAGAGAGAGAGAAGGAGAGAGAAAGAGACACACACAGAGAGAGAAGGAGAGAGAAAGATACAGAGAGACAGAGATAGAGGGAGAGACAGAGAGGGAGAGACAGAGACAGAGAATGAGAGTGAGAGAGACAGAGTGAAACAGAGAGAGAGGGAGAGAGAGATGGAGAGTGAGAGACAGAGAGGGAGAGAGAGAGAGAAGGAGAGAGAAAGAGACACAGAGAGGGAGGGAGAGAGGGAGAGACAGAGACAGAGAGTGAGAGTGAGAGAGACAGGGTGAAACAGAGAGAGAGAGAGAGAGAGTGAGAGGCAGAGAGTGAGAGTGAGAGAGTGAAGGAGAGAGAGAGAGAGAGAGTGGGAGAGAGAGAGATCTTTCAAATACAAGATTCTGTCAATGCTATGGACAAAAAACAGGCTTCAGCAATTAGAAACAATTAACAATTAATCAGGGGAACAGCTTGCCTCCAGAAGTTGTGAATGCTCAGAAAACTGGAATTTTTTTAAAAAAGAGATTGAGCAAATATTTGTCTGAAATGATACCGGGCTTCCTGCCTGAGCAGGGGGCTGGACTGGAAGACCTCCAAGGTCCCTTCCAACTCTGTTATTGAGATTCCTCAGACCTATGAACAGGGGTGGGATTCATCCGATTCGGGCGAACTTGCTCCGACGAGCAGATTTCTCCAAACCGGTTCGCTGCAATGACCATGTGAGCCTGCCTGCCAGCCCCTGCTCTTTCCTGTCCTTGCTTTGCTTAGAGCACAGCTGGTTTACCCCCCAGCTGTTTTCTTCGCAGGGACCGCTGTAAGAAAGTAAGTATTAGAGGTGTTTGACATGAGGAGTGCACCGTCGTCACCGAACCCGTTGTTATACCGGTGGAATCCCAATCCCACCCGACTCATGAAGCTCTCTTTAATTTTCTACGGTGCCTCTCCGGATGTTTATCGTCCACAAAAGAAGACCGAATTCAAAATCGCTAGTGAACGCAACCTAGGAGAGATCATTCTTCTCCGTCTCCAAAGAGAGGACGTGAGGGAAGATAAACAGGACAGCTTGTATTGTGATTTTGTGGTGGTGACGTCGGCCGAAGAGGTGACCTACCGCTTCCCTTGCTACCAATGGATAGAGCACCCCTGGCCAATAGAGCTCAGAGAAGGAACTGGTAAGTAGGTCTACTCAAGGAAAAGAGGAGAAGTTGTTGGTCTGACCGAGGCATCCTAGACCGTAATTACGCAGACACTTATTTTAAAAACAAGTCTTATTTTATTGCAACGCTGGGAATTGTTTTCATTCCCAGCTGGTAATGAATCTCAAACAGTCCCTCAAGATAAGCGTCCGCCTTTCTTTCCTGTGAAGTGCTGCCAATAACAGAAGTGTCAAGTGAACTAGAAAAAACAACAACAACCGAAGTACAAAGAGCTTCAAGAATGAGTCTGAACCGAACGAACGACTTTGCTTCCTGCAAAGGTTTCATCATCTTGGCCTGTCCTTTATCCCTTATGGGAGGGGCAATCACCTCCCAGCCTTATTCCCGAGTCGCCCCTTTTGTCTCAGCTGCTCTCGCCTTCTAGCAGCTCTGTGCGCATGCACAATGGGAACAGGCTCCCCTGGGTCCTCTGCCTCGCTGCTGTCAGACTCCAAAGGCTCCGGAGGCAGCACCCCACTCCCAGATGGCCCTGGCCCCATCTTTGCATCAGATGCAGGACCCTCACCTGAGTCCTCTCCAGACTCTTGGACTGGTCCCCATTCTTCCCCACTGTCTGCACAGGCTGCCAGAGAACCACAACACTTGGGGTCTTCAGGTTCACATCGAATACTCACCAAAGCTAACGCTTGCATTACGACTACCGTTGAGCCCAACATTTCTGTGGCTCGACGAGACGTTTGTCCAGTGAGTTTGGCTCCATTTTCTTCTTGACTGGATTCTCTAAGCGAATCTGTCGGGGTAAAGATTTAAGCACCGACCAGCTGCTACAACGATGCAGGGGTGAAACGTTGCCGGTTCGGCCTGGTTCACCTGAACCGATAGTAAAAAAAAAATGCTACTGGTTCAGCCAAACCGGCATTTTCAACAATCAGCTGGCTGACAAATCAGCGGTGCCATGCAATTTAGATTAGCTGGAAAGCAGGCGACTGCTGGATTTCTTGCTTTCTAGCTAATTTAAATCATGCGGCACAGCTGATTGCCCGCTCACTGTTGTACTTATCTCAGAAAGCTCCAAAATGCTTCTTTTTTCAGCGCCCAGGAGGCGCGGGAGGTTGTTCTGAAAGAAAAAAAAAGAAAAAAAGAAACCCCCCCCAGTCACATGACCTCCCCCAATCACATGACCACCTAGCCACGCCCACCTACATATTGATTTAAAACCTGAAATATTTTTGTTGGGCATTCTACCTGAAAATTATAGTTAGAGAGAATGTATATTTAATTATTCGTGTATTAACTGCAGCCAGGATTGTATTTACACAAAACCGGGAAAGTGAAGAGATTCCGACTGATGAGAAAATATTGGAATGTGCAGAAATGCTTAGATTAACACTGGCAATTAATTAGAAGGAACAAACTGAATATTATCTGATATGGGAAGCTTTTTATTGATAGCTTGAGAATAAACATGGAAATTAGTAATTAAAAAAAGGACCAGTGAAATATAGAAAATGTGCTAATAGAATTAAATATGTTAGGATAGGGACTGTTATAATAATTAGACACATTATATATATCAGTATTAAGTAAGAATAGAGAATACTAATACAATGTGTAAACTGTAATTGTTATTGCAAAAGATATTTGTACCCAGGTGACACATGGTTTAAATGGAAGATGATTTGTTTGCTTTAAAATAAAATAAAAAATTTTACACACACAAAAAATGAAGAAGGCAATTAATTCCCCTGGCTAATCTCCAACTTTGTTGTTCTCCCTGCAGCCAAGACACCATCTATGGATCATCTGCCAAGGTTGCAACAACATCGGAAAGAAGAACTTAAGCAAAGACAGCAGATCTTCCGGTGGGTGCAATTTAGAGGCTGCCCTGAGGCATTGACGGGGAAGGGGACAGGTCCCCCCAAAATCAAGATTGAAACTCAACACTGTAAGAATGAGTCAGTGTTCTTGGCCATGGTTGCCATCTTGACTTTTTTGACCAACACGGGACTCTCCAATGCTGCTAGTTTGAACCCTGGATCTCAGAAAAGCAAGGCAGGTTTTCCTTTGTGTATGAGTGGTGCGTCTAATGTCCGACGACACAAAAACGCCCTTCTCAAATTCTGATTTAGAATTGGAATTCTTTACTGGCCAAGTTTGATAGGACACACAAGGAATTGGTCTTCGGTGCATAAGCTCTCAGAGTATATAAAAGATATAAATGATAAATTATGATCGTCGTCATCACAAATACTGTGTTTTCCCAAAAATAAGCCCTATCCGAATTTACATGCCTGTGCCTAATACAAGCATTACCCCCCAAAATAAGCCCTAGTGAAGGGGGTGGTGGTGAGTGTCAACTCATAAAATATTTCTATGGCCTTTTTAGAATTGCCAACAGAGGGGGGAGGGGGGAGCAGTGCAGCTGCTTGCAAACTGAAATTGCATTCCATACATGTTTTCAAAGATAGTAACTAGGTGACCAAAGTTTCTGCCACACAAAATTCTAACTGGAGGGCGTGATTGATGGCTCCGGGCTATAGAGGTGTCCCATTGGAGAATATGAATTATGATACACCCAGGGAGTTGGGAGGGGGGGGGGAAACTAGGGTCAAGGATGACAATGAATGATGGGTCTCAGAGTCGGACATGTTAACTGCACCCAGGCAGTGCCAGACATGTTAACTCCCAATAAGAGATCTGGGAGACCCATTTTTCTCCCTCAACGAGCTTCTCCGTAGGCCCTGCACTTACCTGGCATCCAAAACAGGCCACGTGGGGCCTCCTGTACGGAGCAAGATGGGGTGGACGGGGCCAGACGGGGGTGGAATTTACTGGTTCGCTGAACCAGCCATTAAAAATGATAACATTAGCTACCGGTTCACCCGAACCAGGGCGAACCGGTAACCAACCCACCCCTGATTGTGCCATCAAATTTTAAAACGAGGTGGGGCAATCTGGCCACCATCTTGACTTATTTTTTTACCTCAGCCTTGGAATCTTCTGGTTCTCCCTTGCAACTAATGTTTGGCTACTTTAGGTGGAAGGAGTTTGCTCCAGGGGTGCCCTGTTGTCTGGATGTCAACTCTTGTGAGGAGCTGGAGACCGACGTCAAATTTTCCTGCATCAAAGCAGCCACTTTTAAGAAAAACGCCGAACGCGAGTAGGTTTTCGTGAAGGAGTCGATGTGGAACGAACTTTATTTGGAAATGATGGTATTTTATCGTTCGTTCGGGGCACTGAAAAAAACCTTGGTCCGTCTGGATTTGAAGATAAGCAAGGTCGATAGATCTTTAGGGGTATCGATAGAAGAGAATCTATCTATCTTAAAAAGAGAGAGAGAATCTTTGTAGCTCAAAGTTGGACTGTGGGCTCCTTGGTAGTCTTCGATCTTGGGGGTTTCCCCTGCAGACATTTCATGACCCAACTAGGTAACATCATCAGTGCTAGTAGGGAGTGGGGTTTGCGAGGAGGAAGAGGAGGAGGACGGTGGGATCCTTGGTGGTTTCTGAGCTTGGTTGGTTCCCTGCAGACGTTTCATGACCCAACTAGGTAACATCATCAGTGCTAGAAGGGAATGGGGTTTGCAAAAGGAAGAGGAAGAGGAGGAGGAGGAAGAGGAGGAAGAGGAGGAGGAGGAGGAAGACTGTGGCATCCTTCGTGCTCTCTGAGCTATCTTGTTTTCTTGCAGACATTTTACAACTCAACTAGCTAACATCATCAGGTACCGTAGGAGGTACATCTAACCTATCCAATCCTGCTTTTCTATTTGTCTCAGAGCGGTAGAACTCAAGCTGAGAGGCTTTTCGGATCGACAGGAATCCTGGGAAAACCTGGAGGACATCAAGAAAGTTTTCTGGTTTAACAAGACAGAGATGGCAGGTAACAGGATGGTCTGGCTAGCAGGTTGAAGCCCATTAGGAGTGGCACCTGACGAATCTTCCTTCTGCTAATTTCAGAACCCTCCCAAAACTCTTGAAATCCACGTATTTGTCCTCTGAAATCCTTCTTCCCCAGGTTTCTTTGTTTTACCCATGTGGCAAACCCCTCCCCACACCCCGAAGAATGAAACGTTTTGGGAAATATTTTAAAAAAAGGCAGAGTATTATATTTCCCTAAAGGAGAAATGGAGAAATGTTTCTTTAGAGGCAGGAAGCATCCCCCACCCAGTTCTTTTGAACAGCCCCCAGCAGGTGCCAACACTTAAGGAGATAAAGAGCTTATTGGAAAAGGAAGCCAACTATCTAGATGGCTCTATCCATAAACAAAGCAAGATCCTGCCGGCAGAAGCCCAATCAAGACAGGGTATTTAGAAAACTCCTTGTGGTAAAGTTTGACAGCTAATCAAAGCAGAAGGATAGGATTAGAATAAGCAGCCCCTCACCCCAAGATCCAACCCGTGACAAAAGCCAATTAGACCCCAAAACCCTGTTTCCCCGAAAATACGATCTACCCTGAAAGTAAGTCCTAGCTTGATTTTTACACCTGCACCCCAATATAAGCCCTAATTAAGATCCCACTCACTCCAGACTACACGGGTATAACTTAAGCTCGGGTGGGGATGGGGCGGTGGAGGAGCTGCCCTACTACTTACCTTTGGGAAGGTGTAGCCAGGCCACGTACCCCCCAACACCTGCCTTGCCTGGCCATTTCTTCTGCAGCCAGCAAGGCTGGCAAAGGCTTTCCTGAAGGCCTCTGGAGCTGATAACAAAACTCTGGCTTGTTCTGGAGTTCCATTATCTGTTGCAAAGGCCTTCAGGAAAGCCTTGCCGGCCACAGAAGCAGCTCCTGAAGGCCTCTGACAGTGAAAAGGAGGTTGGGGTGACACACACAAGTGACGTTAGTCAGTGGAGGACGTGCCCCCAAAATAAGACCTGGTGCCTATTTTTGGTGGAAAAAAATATACATAAGACAGGGTCTTATTTCTGGGAAAACACACAGATAGGAATTGCCCAACACCCTTTAAGAAACACAAAGCCCACATTGCACAATTCCCAAACCTCAAAGTTACAGAAATTAGTCCGTTTCAGAATAACAGATTCACAGAGACAGGAGGGATCTTGTAGGTCATCTAGTCCAACCCACTTCCTGTCTCGGCAGGCTACCTTACACCATTTCTGACAAAATGGCAGTCCAATTTCTGTTTATCACTGGTAGAAGACCACACTTGGAATCTTGACTCCAGTTCTGGTCACTACAATACAAAAAAGTTGTTAAGACTTTAGAAAGAGTGCAGAGAAGAGAAACCAAGAGGACTAGGGGACTGGAAGACAAGCTGTACAATGAACAGTTGTGGGAATTGGGGAATGTCTACTCTAATGAAAAGAAGGACCAGGGGTGACATGATAGCAGTGCTCCAATATTTGAGGGGCTGTCACAGAGAAGAGGGAGTCAAGCTATTCTCCAGAGAACCAAAAGGCAGGACAAGAACAATGGATGAAAACCAGTCAAGGAAAGAATCAACCTGGAATTAAAGATAAACTTCCTAATAGTGAAGGCAATTAACCAATGGAACAGCTTGCCACCAGAACACCAAATTCAAAAATGTTTACTACTGGTTCTGTGGCCATGGCTTGGTGGCTATGTGATCATGTGACTAGGAGGTCAAAAGAGAGAAACTCACTTTCTGGAGCAGGGGGGTTGGACTAGATGACCTCCAGGTACCTTCCAGCCCTGGACTGCTGTGCTGTTTCAAAGCATCCTCTGAAGCTGCGTCTAGTGCCAAGGTTTGTAGTCCTTTCTTTCTCTCCTTTTTCCCCCCCCTCTGTCCCTCTGTTGCTCCTAGTCTTTCTTCCTTCCTTCCTTCCTTCCTTCCTTCCTTCCTTCCTTCCTTCCTTCCTTCCTTCCTTCCTTCCTTCCTTCCTTCCTTCCTTTCCTTCCTTCCTTCCTTCCTTATCTTTCTTTCTCTTTCTTTTTTTCTTGTGCAGTACACTCCCCCCCGTGCCCCGTTTTCGACCTAGTGGGCCTCAAGGAAGCCTCCTGGGTGTTAAAAAAAAGTATTTTGAAGCAAGGGAGGGAGATCACCTGTGTTAATGATTTAGATTAGCCAGAAAGCAAGAAATCCAATGATTTCCTTATTTCTAGCTAATCTAAATCACACAGCACAGCCCTGCTTATTGTCTGCAATTTTTTTACTACCGGTTCAGCTGAACTGGTAGCATTTTTTACTACTGATTCGGCTGCGAACCGGGCCGAATTGGTAGAATACCACCACTGCACCAGAACTTTCACTGGAGGCTTTGAAGAAGAGATTGGACAACCTTCTTCTTGTGCCATATCCATCCTCGGACGATGGAAATCAGGTTGGTGATCCTATTGTTCTTATCAACAGCCGCAAACCAGTCCCTTAGATTTTTGAAGCCAAGATCTTATTTTGCCTGGAGGACCTCATTTGCCTTCAATATTTCCTTGGGGGATTAAGGGAAGGATGCCGTATTTTTCCGGGTGTTCACTGATGATGTTACATAAGCATTTGCAAGGACAATCCCCTGTCTGAATTGGGAAGAAAACAGCTGATTGTTGGGAAGAAAACAGCTGATTGTTGGGAAGAAAACAGCTGATTGTTGGGAAGAAAACAGCTGATTGTTGGGAAGAAAAAAAAGAAACACTGGCCGAACTTTTTAAACTACTGGTTCAGCAGAACAGTAGCATTTTTTGCTACCAGTAGAATCCCACCACTGACTACGAGGCCTCCAAGATCCCTTCCAACTCTGATATTTCTGCATTCCTTTCTGTATTCCTTGTTCCAGAACATGTCACAGAATATTGGAAGAGGGACGAATTCTTCGGCTATCAATTCTTACACGGGTTGAACCCAATCATCATCCAGTTATGTACCCAGATCCCGAATAATTTTCCCGTGACCCAAACGATGGTCGCTGGATTGTTGGGTGACTCCACCACCCTGCAGGAGGAGCTAAATGTAAGGAAGGTGGCGTTTCATGCTTTCAGGGGACCTTCTTGGGAGACACACACACACACACACAGATACACACACACACACACATACCCTCCCTGGAAAGGAAGCCATTTGACAGCCCTACTGTCAGCCCTTCTCCTCACTTCCATGTCTGAGTTTCTTCTTCTTGGTTCTTTCCAGAAGCAAAGGATCTTCCTGGTGGACTACAAGATCTTGGAAGGCCTTTCCGCTGGGCTGAATAATGGACGTCTTCAGCATATAGCAGCTCCGTTGTGTTTGCTACACTTGTCCTCTGAAGGACATCTCATGCCTCTGGCCATCCAGGTATGACATCTCTTCATTCATTCATTCGTTTGTTCATTCATTCATTCATTCATTCATTCATTCATTCATTCATTCATTCAGTCAATCAGTCATCCATCCATCCAATCTATCCAGTCATTCAATCATCCATCCATCCGTCCGTCCATCTGTCCAGTCATTCAATTGTCCATCCATCCATCCAGTCATTCAATGATCCATCCATCCATTCAATCACCCATCCAGTCATTCAATCATCCATCCGTCCGTCCATCCATCCATCCAGTCATTCAATCATCCATCTATCCATCCATCCAGTCATCCATCCATCCAGTCATTCAATTGCCCATCCATCCATCCATCCATCCACCCACTCACCCATCCATCCAGTCATTCAATGATCCATCTATCCAGTCATTCAATCATCCATCCATACATCCATCCATCCATCCATCCAGTCATTCAATGGTCCATCCAGTCATTCAATCATCCATCCATCCATCCATCCATTCAATCATCCATCCAGTCATTCAATCATCCATCCATCCATCCATCCAGTCATCCATCCATCCACTAATTCAATTGTCCATCCATCCATGCATTCAATCATCCATCCAGTCATGCAATCATCCATCCATCCATCCATCCACCCAATAGATTGACTTCTGTTCTTTTTCCCAGCTCAGCCAGTCTTCCACATCCCCCATCTTCCTGCCCAGCGATCCAGAATGGGACTGGATCCTGGCCAAGACCTGGGTGCGCAATTCGGACTTCCATATCCACCAGGGGCTCACCCACCTGCTCCGGACACACCTGCTGGCGGAAGTGTTCACCATGGCAACTCTCCGCCAACTTCCGATGTGCCATCCTCTCTACAAGGTAGGGTTTCATTTTTCAATCCTGACAGAAATCATGGGTTTTGGTCCAACTCTTGGTTCATTTGGGCCACCTTCCGGGCCATCCCATAATTTTCAGCGGTTGATGTGGCTCTGCAGCATAAGAGTCCCTTTCTCTTCCTTCAACTGGTGGTTTGATGGACATCTTCTTGCATGTCTGAAAGTTGGAATGATCTTCCAGGCTTATCATGGTGTAGGGTAGGGATGTCCAACCTTGGCCACTTAAAGGCTTGTGGATTTCAGTTCCCAGAATTCTGGGAACTGGCTGGAGAATTCTGGGAATTGAAGTCCACAAGTCTTCAAGTGGCCAAGGTTGGATATCCCTTGTATAGGTCATATGACTTTGTGAGAAAGATACAACTGTCTTTTAAGCAAGGTTGGGACATTCTGGGAGTTGAAGTTCTTAAGTCTTCAAGTGGACCATATTGGACACCCCTTTTGTAGGACATATGATGAGTTGAAGTCCATAAGTCTTCAAGTGGATAAGGTTGGACACCCCTAGTGTAGGACGTATCACTTTGTGAGAAGATACAATTGACTTTTGGTCAAGTTAGTGGGATTCTGTAAATTGAAGTCTATAAGTCTTCAAGTGGCCAAGGTTGGACACCCCTAGTGCAGGACACAACATTTTGTGGGAAGATACAACTGTCTCTTGTGCAAAGGGGTGGTCCTTTAAAAGGAAGAGGCACAGGAGTCTCGTTGAGATGGCTTTAGATGAATTTGTCTTATCAGTTGCATACTGTGTGCTGTCAATCCAGCTACACACTAACTGTTTACTGTCTGGCCAACATAGTGAGAAGATGTCCAATTTTTTTCTTCTGCCTGTCATGTTTCACCTCTTTAAAACTAAAGAATGTGGGTGTCAGGGTTCCAGCAGTTATCCTCATTTAAACCATGCATCTCGAGCCAAACTTCCAAAACTTAAAGGAGATTTATTAGGAGTAGACATGCCGGCGCTGCCTGGGTGTAGCCGACTCTGAGACCCATCATTCATTGTCACCCTAGACCCTGGTTTCCCTCCCTCCCACCCTCTGGATGAATAGTAATTCATATTCTCCAATGGGACACATCCATAGCCCAGAGTCATCGATCATGTTCTCCGGTTAGAATTTTGAGCGGCAGAAACTTCGGTCGCCTAGAAACTATCTTTGAAAACATTTATGGAATGCAAGCTTCCATGGGCTCCCCTCTCCCTTTCTATTGGCAGCCATAAAAAGACTTCCATAGAAATATTGTATGACAGTGGAGACCATATCTAGCTTCAAAGAGATGGAGACACCTGGCTGTATGGGTAGGCAGTCGTTGGAACTCCTCATAGTCCAAGCAGGTCACCTGATGAGGAAGCTGCCTTCTCTGATTGCAATGGGGAACGCAATCCAAATATTTTGGCCCCCAAATTCAGAAAGTTGGGTAGGTTTTTAAGGAAGTGATTGGACAGCTATTTGTCTGAAATGGTATAGCTTTCCTGCCTGAGCAGGGGGTTGGACTAGAAGACCTCCAAGGTCCCTTCCAACTCTTCTGAAAAGAAGGACTAGCAATGTTCTAATATTTGAGGGGCTGCCCCAAAGAAGAGGGGGGGTCCATCTATTCTCCAAAGCACCTGAAGGCAGGATAGGAAACAACAGATGGAAACCTATCGAGGAAAGAAAAAAACCTAGAACTAAGGAGAAATTTTTTTGACAATTAGAACAATTCATCAGCGGAAGGACGTCCCTTCAGAAGTGGCGGGTGCTCCAACACTGGAGGTTTTAAGGAGGAAATTGGACAATCCTTCTTTGGCATTGATATAGCTTCTTTTGCCTTAGCAGAGGGTTGGACTAGAGGACCTCTAAGGTCCCCTCCCATTCTGTGACCCTCTTATTTTGAGATTGTGACCTGGACAAGAAGATACGAAGGAGGGAAACGCTTCTCTTGCCTTTTTTCTTTGCCAGCTTCTGATCCCTCACATCCGCTTTACTCTTCACATCAACACCTTGGCAAGGACCCGCCTGATTCCCAAGGGAGGAGTGTTTGATGAAGTAAGTTGGCATTCAGTTTATCACAGGAGATGTAGATGTCCACAAAATCTACAAAGACCAGGGTTCCCTCTTCCTGTTCTCCTTCTAGGCAACTGCCACTGGCTTTGATGTCTTGAGGATGTCCATGGGATGTCCATCTGACAACTGGGG